GGGTGTGGGGGATGGGGCAGTAGGGGCTCTAAGGGCGGGAGAGGGGGACTCTGGGGGCGGGGCCCTCGCAGAGAGGGAGCTCTGCGGGCTTCTCAGGACAGGGCCACGACAGCTGCCTTGACTTGATCTTTTTCTCCCTAAATGCTTCCCCTCCCAGTGAGACCGCTGCGGCCCAGATCCTCCAAAAGTACTTAGGTGGTTTACTCCCATTGACATCAATGAGAGTTAGGTGACTAAATACTTGTAAGGATCTGGGCCTTCCTGCCTACAGCACTTTCTCTCCCAGTGCATCTCTGATGCCTTATAAACGCTAGTGATTCAGCTTTCACAACACTCCTGTATCATTATCCCCAATGAGCTAGAGTCACGGAAAATGACTTGTCCCCTGTGTTCACTCCACAAGTTAGCACCCAGGAATCCTGACTCTCAGTCTAATGCTCCAACCACTAGACCATGCAACTGAGAATTGATATTTTTATTGCGTGTGAATGTGCAGGGAAGATCTGGCTGTTAACTCCCATGTTGAACTGTGCTTTTGTTTGTTTGTTTGTTTTATCTTATAGGTATGTGGAGATCACAGTAAAAAATAGAGAGGGAAGTATCTCCGGGGTTTTGGAGAGACCCTTCAGCCAAGCAGAACATTGCACAAAAGGTGTGTCAGAAAAGATCAATGCTATTTTCTTTCTTTGTCACATTAATTGTTTGTAGCTGGAATTTGGCAAGGTGTATGACAAGAAAAACTGTTCGTGTTAGCACCCTCTCAGGCTTGGGACTTCAGATATACATTTCTCTACTTTTGTAGTATTTCCTTAAATGTATTTACTTTTCTAGTGCTGAGTACTATAGAAATAAAAGTATGTTTCACCTTGTATATATGTATATAAGGTGTGTATTTCTGCTTTTATTGCTTAGTGGGAAATAACTAGTAAAACAATATGCCAGATTAAGAATTGGGGGGAGGGATAGCCCAGTGGTTTGAGCACTGGCCTGCTAAACCCAGGGTTCTGAGTTCAATCCTTGAGGGGGCCACTTAGGGATCTGGGGCAAAACTCAGTACTTGGTCCTGCTAGTGAAGGCATGGGGCTGGACTCAATGACCTTTTGAGGTCCCTTCCAGTTCTATGAGATAGGTATATCTCCATGTATTATATTATAGTTCCTTTAGTGTTGACGACTGTCTTTAGCAAAGTTTATTTGGACAAGGGGAACAGGTGTTTACTGAATTAATAATTTTTAAATTGCCCTAGTTTATTTTTATTTCTGAAGATATAGTTTTCCTTTCGGGCTCATCAAGGTAATGTGCAACTGCAGAGAAACTCTTCCCTGTTTAGACAGGACTGGTGTGATATTCACACACTCTTATTTGCACAGCAGAACTAATTTTAAAAGTAGTCATTTCAGGAATGCATCTGATGTGAGAAAAAAAACATTTAACTTAGTTAGCCCCCAGTGCATCTTGAAAGTATCATGACATCTTTTTAAAGTTTCAGTTTCTGAATTAATAATCATGGAATATACAGACATAATGTACAATATTTTTATCCCTAAAATTGTGGAATATTTCATGTAGCAGTTTTGTTTTTTTGTTTGGGGCTTTTGTTTGTTTGTTTCTGTTTTTTTTGCTGTTCTACATCATTCTATTCATATGTTAGGTAAAATTGTAAGGGAGTTATAGTGAAGATACCAAAGAAAGGTAAGACAAGAACCGTCATTTGGATATGGATTAGGTTCATATTAACATAATTAGTTTTTCATTTCTAGGTTACGAATTTGGATCCAGATTTTAATCGGATGGCTATTTGGGCCATGTAAAATGAATTGGGTGCAGTTCACTTTTCAGTGAACACAAGGGGTCCAAGTCTACACCCCTGAAATCACTACCTCAGTTGCTGTCTTCAAAATTGGGTGTAGAGGCTGACATACATTTACACACCTACTTGTAGGTTTTGATACAAGGGGGAGGAAGGGGAATGTGGGGAAATTTGAACTGCTGCTGTCTGTGCCTTACCTCTTCTGAGGATTAAAAGAGAGATTGGATTGGGACCAGGTTTGTCATTTTGGCACTAATCAGAAACCACTTCATTTTTTTTATGAAGTAACATTGCAGTTTTCTTTCCAGGCACTGGATGATCATAGCTAAACAATGTCTGGACTACGTGGAGCTGTCCATGCAAAATGGATAATAGGGAAAGTAATTGGAACCAAAATGCACAAAACTGCCAAAGTGAGAGTAACAAGGCTTGTGCTGGATCCTTATTTACTAAAGGTAAGGTCTGGTCACCAACTTACTTTGCAAGATCATTTTCATATTCACTATCAAAGAAAATTGTATTGACTTTCTGAAATACTAGGATTTCATTGTAAACTGTTTACATTGTTAACTAATTCAGAACATTGAGTGGTAATTTGGCTCTGAATATGACTGCATAGAAAGGAAAACCAGTGTAAAAACATAAAATTTGCCATATCAGATTATCTATTAAATGCATTTCCTTGAATGATTCTGTTAACACACATTTTGATCTGAGCTGGGAAAGTGGACTACTAATTTCGTGCTTTGATTTTTGAAAAGTCCTTTTAAAAAAAATTTATAAGTTTCTGGGGTTTTGCTCCATTTTGAAAGCTTGAAGTTATAAAATAAAATGTGTTTGTATATGGTGATATTAAAATAATTGCCTACTATATCTTTTTCCTAACCACTTTGTTGAATAAGTAATTGCAGAAATATTCTTTAGCATTTGACCCACTGAATCAATATAGATCTATCAATAATAAAATAATCAGACTATTTATAAGGCAAGCCTCCCTCAGTTATTATTAAAGACTAGATTCAAGAGAAACTATGCTCCCTTTAGTCAATTCTGCACTTTATAAGATAAAAGAAGGTAGGTTAGATTTGTAATTGACTCTTTTCTGTTCAGTTCTACCGTTATACCATATGCATCTATCAGTGGCTTTGCTTAGGCAAAAACCCAGTTAGTTATGCATACCTGCACTATCAGCCTGATAGCGAAACTTCCAATTCATTTTGCTTTTGAACATAAGTTTACTGGTCATCTTTTAGTTCTGAGTCCTAATGCCTGGGTTTCCTTTTCTCCTTCTCTCCAACAGTTCTTTAACAAGCGAAAAACTTATTTCGCTCATGATCCATTGCAGCAATGTGCCGTCGGAGACATTGTTCTTCTAAAAGCTTTGCCGGAGCGGAGGACCAAAAATGTGAAACATGAACTGGCTGAGATTGTTTTCAAGGTTGGAAATGTCATAGACCCAGTGACTGGAAAGGCCTGTGCAGGAACCAGGTTCCTGGAAAGTCTAACAGACTCAGAAAGTCTAACTGAGGCAGACACCACCTATCTAAGTGAAAAGCTCCAAGAACTAAATGTTTCCTCAACAGAGAAATAAAGGGTGGGAAGAGGCCAATAAACTGAGGGCTTTACCTCTCATCTTTACATGAGGGATTGGTTGTACCCATTGTCTTAGGATGTAAAATCTTTCTATTGTTAGTAACAATAAATAATAAACTGAATTACTTCCAACACCAAAATGACAGAGATATTTTAAAATTGGGGAATTTATCAATTAGAAATAATGTGGAAAAAACTTAAATCACAGTTAAGCTGTGTTTTCAATGTTTGATTTTCTTAACACACAGTTTTGCCCTATCTTTAGCAAGAATGTCAAAATTATCACCTCAGTCACAAAATTAAGAATGGTTCTTCTTTATTAAGATGTTTAAGAGAATAAATCTATATATAGTTTAATATTCATGGGAGGATGTTTTTCCCATGTTTGACTGTCTGAACCCTGGAACTGAATCTGAGTTTTGTAGCCTTATATTTAAAGTAACACAATTAAAACTTTTTTAAAATATTGTAGAAATCTTATAGCTATATGTTTATATATGTTATTTCATTTTATTATTAGTAATGCCACCCTATAGCAGTAAGCTTGTTATAACGTTTCATAAACCTTCTGTATAAAATGAGTAATAGAATCATGTGCATTTAAACCACCTAATTTTAATTGCTTACTGTTACAAATTTTATCTGCTTTATCACAAGACATACTAAAGGAAAGGTGAAATTGATAAAAGGCTACAATGAAACAATGGCATAGTTTGACAAAGTGAAGGGACATAATCCAGCACCCATTGAAGTCAAAGGGGAATGGGAAGTCAATGAGAGTTTTGCTATTGACTTTCATGAGAGAGGTTCTTAACCAATAGGTAGAGGTAAAATCCGTATCTGAGGGAGAAAAGTGGGTCCTTCATGATTCAAATAGCTTGTAAAACAAAGGAAAAGTAGATGTGTATCCAGTACAGATGGGGAGGGATGTATCTCTTTTAACCTAAGTATTCTGCTGCAAATAGAAAAGTTACAAAATAGGAATATTAGAAAAATCCCATAAATGTAATACAAAAGAGTGGAAGTAAAGATGCCTGAAGTCTTATCTCTTAATAAGAAAATCTAATTAAGGCCCCAAATCCTGCAGAGATGCAGGGATCAAGTCTCTAAAAGCTGTAACAAAGAACAAATAGTCCAGGGCAATTCAGGATTACAGTTGACTTGGTGCTGCTGGGATTCTGGGCCTGTTGACACTATTACGCCCCTTGCCATAAATTAGAGCTGTTCCAGGGCCTGTGGGTTGCTCAGCAGCCAAATCTACCGGGACATCCTCTCCCACCCCCAAAATACAAGGTTTGTGGGGGTCAGCAGAAGAACATATATGGTGCACCTGCACAGGGGCCAGGCCCAGAGCTGGGGGAAGGAATCTTCACTCACTGTCTCTTCAAATGGGTGTATAGATGTGCCTGCATCCATCACTTTGCAGGGTTAGGATTGCAGCCTAAACTTCCAGAGAATCCATCTCTGTGGATGAGGGGCTACTGATAAAGCAAGATTTTGGAAACTGAGCCCCTCTTCAGGAATATGAAATCAGTTGTGCTCCCTTCCAGTCTACTATGTGTGGTTAAAGCTCTACCCGTTTTAATTTATACGCTTTCCTCCCCCGGGGGTGCTTGCATTATGCTGTGGGAAATGCTACACTAAAGGCTTAGGCTCTGGTGCTTGCGAATCTGTTCAGCGGTTGCCAAAAACCATGCTTTGCTCATCAACTCATTCATTATCCGTGTGCTCACTGTTCTGCACTAGCACCTATATAGCACTAGAGTGATTGGATTTTGGTTTGGTTTTTTTTTTTCTTTCAAATATTGCGGGAGAAAATATGAAAAGAGGGAATGGAATTCATGTTTCTCAGACTGGAGATGACTTGTGAAAAATGCTTCAAGCTGTTTGCTGGAGATTTAACACACCCATTCATTCTGCTTAAATCAAAATATGATACATACCTGAGAAAAATCGGAGGTATGCTAATTTTAAAAAATTGTAAATGGGAAGTCTTAAGTCAGTGGCTATCAATGATTTAAGATGCAACATCAGACTTCACTAATATTGAAGGACATTGTATATGCAAGTTTGTATAGGTCTCCATGAAGTATGTGCTAATATCAAATCTTAACTGGCCAAGTGAACTTTATTTGTTTTTTAAACCAAAACTTGTAAAATTAACTATTATAAACAGTACTTGAACTCATTTTCTGTTGAACAAGTCAAACCCTTTCACACTACTGGACATTTATGGTGTTAACAGAATTTATATCCTCTCTGTGCTCACCACCATAAAACAATTGGCTGGGCAAAGCTTTTGTTAGTGCAGTATGTTGCTCTGATAGGCTTACATATAATTTTTAGTCACTAGAGGATTTGTTTTTCTACACAAAGTAGTTTTAACAAAGATCTAATTGACACTCTTGCTAGCTGAAAGCATGTGGTGTGGAAATGTACCTGTTCGGTGAATTAATAGGACTTTCATTGAAGTCCCTGTCAGCAGAGAGCCTAAGGAAGGAAATGTCATGGAGAGATAATTACTTATTCACAACTGTCACAAGTTCTTTTAAAATACCTATTTACTGTACCTTTTCTAGCCATGCGTGCCTGTGTACCTTAATGAATAAATAGCAGCAGTCCCAAAATTCAACTACTACTTTAAAAGTTGATAACATATAGTATATTTTACAGTCCTCGTTTTTTTAAAAAAGTCTGAATTTTTTATGCTTGTTAAATTAATGCCTAAGCTAGAGTAAGAGATGAGAGAAGGAAAATATTTTTTAGTTTGAGTGGGGGTGAAGATCTTACATTGTTAAAGTTATGTCAAAAATCAGTTCTGTATTTAATTTAGAAAGTGGGAGTCTGGGATGCTTACATCTTTATTCATGTATTTTGCAGGACCTTGAGCTAGAGCGTCTGTAATTTATCCACTATGCTCATCAAAAGTGGTTTGTTTTCTGAGTCAGGATTGAGGCACATTCACACAGTAGCTCAGAGGAGTTTTGCACTGCTGCTGGTTGGGCTGACGATAATAGCATAATGGTTTCCAGGGCTGTTACACTGACCTCTTTCAGCACCCCTACATTTGCTTTAACCCTGTTAGTACAGCCTTGCTTGTCTGGTATGTATGGGAAAATACACCTTGCCTATGTAGTGTGCTCTCAGCACTGTGGTATACAGATGCCATATCTCCAGTGTGAAGGTATTTTCCAGTTTTGGTTCTTTCCTCCAGCAAAAAAATTTAATTGTAATTATGAGTGACAAGTGAAACATAGTGTTGTGATAACTGAAAAAGACTGAGTTTTTCCTATTACTTCAGTGTATTACTGGAACAAATGTGTGTTGATATCTGCTCCTGCAGGGTTCCAATGGGAGGTCGACAGGAAAAAGAGCATTTTAATCTCTAATAACTTGTTGGAGTGGTAAGAAGCTACAGCTAATCCTGAACACAAAATACTTGTGCGTCTATCACACATTTCATGAAAGGAACAACAGTGTAAAGAACAGCCAACCATTAGACTGTTAGCTCTTCAGAGCTAGGACTTCTGCACGTGGCTGGGTTTTTTGTCTTGCAGAGTGGAAACCACAGTGGCAAGGGTTAACAAGTAATACCTTAGGCCCCCAAGCCTGCTAACACTTATGCACCCTCGGGACTCTTCACAGTAGTAAAGTTAAGCACGTGCAAAGTATTATCCTTATTTTACAGAGGAGGAAACTGGCACGGAAACTTAGACTGATGCTGCAGGTGCCTGGCTTAATGGGATGTGTTCGGGAGTTGTAGGGCCACGGATACCAAGCCCAGCAGCCAAGGGGTTAAAGAGTAGGGTCTGGAGGGGGGTGCAGAGAAGGGGTGGGGGCTGTCCCCCTCGACCCCTTCCTCAGAGCGCCAAGCCCCCCTTCATCCGCTCTGGGGCCTGCTCACGCCCCGCTGTCCCCCCAGTGGCCGCCAGCGGGTACTGCAGGCCCGAGTCGTCCTCCCGGGCCCGGGCGAGCTTGGGCGGAGGAGGCCAGAGCAAGATGGCGACCCGAGTGCTGCTGCGGCGGAGCCTGGGGGGAGCCGGCGGGCTGGGCAGGGCAGGGCCTCGCCTCCCGGCCCGCGGCAGCCTGGCCCTCAGGTGAGCACGGCGCTCCTCCAGGAGGGACCCCGGGCCTGCAGTGCGGCGCTGGGAGTCCCGTCCCCCTGGGTGCCCCTCGCTGACTCCTTCCGGACTGTAAATGGCGCCCCCCTGGCCGGGGGGGGGCGGGCTGCGGGACTGGGGGCAGAGCCCCCCCGCGGGGCGGGAGAGGGGCAGCCCCGCGTAGGAGTTCCTAGCCCGGGGTCTCCCGCAAGGTCATGGGCCTCCCCGCCCCGCCTAGGGACAGCCCGCGCCGGGCACCCACTCCCGCCCCTCCACATGCACCCCAGGTTGTGCGTCCCCCATGCGGGGCCCCGAGCTGGGCCTGGGAAGTCCGCCCCACAGATGCACTGTCCGCCTCAGACCCGCCCCACCATCCGGATTTGGGATCATGCCCACACAACCCCCCCATCCTGGGTTTGAACCCCCCCCCCTTTCTGCACACACAGGAGGCTCCCCATCTGAGACTGGGGACCCATCGGACTATATAACCCCCCTACACACGCACCCCCAGAGGGAAACCCACTAGAGTAGTCTAAGTGTCTGATGCCCCAGGCCCCAACAGGCACCTGTTGGAATGGGTTTGAAGCGTCTGATTTATTTTTATACTTTCCGTTAACTTTGATATTTGTTTAGAACAGAAATCAAAACCCTGTTGGTTGAATTTCAGTTAAGTGTTTCTTTCAAATTTTTCTCTCTTTCAGGGGGATGGTGTCAGGGCAAAAATGTAGGATTTGTACTCAACTTGAATATAGGTTTTCGGCTAAAAGAAAACTTGATAGAAATATTTCCCTGTGTGTTTTTAATCTAATGTAGGCAATTTTTAAAATAAACATTTGCAGCTGCCTACTGTAGCACTGAGCTTGTACATGAGAAAAAAGAGGTGAAATTGATTAGAAACTGATTTAGTCTTTTACTATTTTTCAATGGAAGGGTAATGCCAAAAGTAAAACAGTGAAAAATAAACTTGCATTTTCAAAATTCTAACTTTCTCTTTGTTACAAGTTACCAATGATGTTTCTAAAACAAGGAAAGTTGTTTTGTAACATTGTTTTAACCTGATAGTGTCCATTTGAAATCTTGGGTATCAATGATTTTTTTCTGGGTTGTTTGTTGTTGTTTTTTGGAAAACAACATCAAAGGAGCCACTAGCAGTTTGAAATATATACACACATTGGCTGATCATTTGCTCTCTGTACAAGCCATTGTGGACACACCATTGCACACTGCATGATTGCTTACCTACCAGGTGCAGTTGTAGGCCTTGATCTTGCAAACACTTAGGCATATATGCTTTACTCTGAGTACCTAGCAAGGCCCAGTGACTTCAGTGGGATTATTCACATGCTTAATGTTCAGAACATCCATA